ATTTCCTATCCTTTCTCTCTTTCTCCTTTTCCTTTCTCCTTTCCTCTCTCTCCTACTTTGCATCCTTCCCTCCTTTCTTTTCTCTTTCCTTGCTGGAAAGTTAAAAATACCTAAAGTGAAGCTTGCTGTACAAAAGGCCCTTAATTATGTTTTGTTTGAAATCTTCCATAAATAAAGCTTTTCTCTGAGTAGGAATCCATACAAATCGATTTTCCCTGTGAATTATTCTCCAACTTTCACCTGGCTAACTCTTTCTGAATGTAAAGCCTTTGCCTAGAGAGGCCTGGCCTAATCATTATAAATTTTATTGTGTCCTTTACTTTGTGTAATGGCACTCACTGTTTTACATTTACAGATAGTGCAAAGACTAGATATATTTATATATTTAAAATAAAATATATAAATATATATTTTAACATATATCGTTATTTTTCTGTTTCTGGGACAAAATACCTGACACTCATAAGTTAAAGTATTAGAAGTTTATCGTGGCTCATCATTTCAGAGGGTACAGTAGTAGTTGACCGACTCAGAGACACAAAAGTCACTGCAAAGGACATGGCAAAGGAAGGTGTTTGCTTCAGGGTAGCTGGAAGCAGAGATAGAGCAGGGAGGAGACGGAGACAAGAGCAGGCTCAGGTCACATCTTCCTCCACACGGGCCCCTCCTCCTAACGGCACATTCGTCTATGATATCAACAATGGGATAAATCCACGGGTGAGTATGGTGTCCCGTGATCAGGCCATCTCTTCAGAACTCCACCTCTGAACACATGAGACTTGGGGGACAGTTTAGATAGGAGCCGAGCGCATCCATTGTAAGCATGCTGTAGATTTTTGCTAAACACATGAGGAGAAAATCCAGTGTGTGGAGTGTTGATGAAGAAACCTAAGAAGCGTACTTTTTTTCAGAGAATCACCCTGAAAAAACCAGGTTATGGAGCCACTCTATTTAAAATTGGTGTGATTCTACTTCCTGATGATGAATACCACATGAAAACTTTTTATAAATCATGGTGTTTTGAGCATAATATTGTTTAATTGAAGAGGACATTATCCATTCATCTTTTGATGGCCATCCAAATCTGTTTCCAGGATTTAGGTATTACTAATTGTGTTGCTATAAAATGAATGGATAAATAAAATATATTTTTAATATAAAAAAGGAATACTACTCTGTCAGAAAGAAGGGTAAACAAGACATTTTCACATATATGAGTTTACTGTGAGACCATACTTTTAACCAACATAAATCAGACACATATGTTTAAATATTCCATCTTTTCTCTTGTGTGAGAAACTAAAAGCATACATAAAGCCCAAAATGGATGACAGATATTGTCAAATAGGAAGAAAATGATCAAATGGGAAGAGGAAAAAGAGAAAGGGGTAGGGGAAAAAGAAAGTAGGGAAGAGAAAAATAAAGAGAATAGAAGAAAAAACTGAAACAAAGTTTTTTTAAGTGGGGAGGGATGGAGTGTTTGTAGGAGGAGAAGGGAATGAAGATAAAAAGAATTGAGGTACAATATGTTCAGTTACAATTCCGCATGGCAAACGTGATCAATGTATGACAAATATGTGCTAATAAAAATAAAGTTAAAACCTACATTAAATCAGAGTATTTCTGACACAGTAAAAGAGGAACTACGTATTGATAGTTTCGTAGAACTGAAACAAAAAGATTTTAAATAGCTAGCTTCAAAGCTTTCTCTCTTACTAACTTTGTAGCAGCTTACCTCATTTTAGGTTATGCCAATCATATTGTAATACATTTTTCCAGTAATCAATAACTGAAATAGCAAGTGGCATATGAATCTCTTAAGGTTATACAGAATGATAATTTCACTTAAGAGATCTTAATAAAATATCGCAATGCTTTAAAGGACTTTAAAAATGATTTTTAAGACAACTTCAAGGATGACACAGGGGAAAAGTTCTTGCTTCCCATTGCCCACATTCATGAGATGTGCTCTGATTCAACGGATACAGAAAGTGACTCTGAATGTGGCAACTGCAAAGCCAAAGGGCAGTCTGATGAGGGCCGGTGTCCAGGAAGCGACACCTCACTGTCTGTGTGATTTATAGCCTGTTTTTCTTGCTTTGAACTTGGTTTCCTCACATATAAGTAGGCTTAATAATATGTCTCCTGGGTCACAGTGAGAATTAACACAATGTGAGAAAAGCAATCTTTATAAGCTGTAAAGCACATACAAATGCTATAGTTATTTATTTTGAAAATGTTATCTGTCTTGCTTCTGGGGTCTCCATCTAGTTGGAAGAGTTTCCTTAAGGATGGAATGAGTCTTCACGAGTTCAGAGTCACCAGCAGCCCAGAGCTCAGAATTGCTACGGTAGAGGACAAAAGGCTGTTGTCGTAGCAAAGGAACAGTACACTGCGTATATGAGATCACAAGTTTTTGAACATTTCCTTCATAGTGTCTGCCCTCCGACCTTGTAATCCTGACTGTTTTTGTCATGCAAGTAACATCACACAGCCTGTCATGATATATCATTGTTCAGTGGTTACAGTCACTGGACAGCTACTATACTAAGAAAGTCAAAGACTCTCAGAAAAATACAATGCTAAGATGGGATTGGCAAATACCAAGTAGAGACTATTATTCTTCCTGGGAAAATCAAAGGTCTTTTTCGGTTGAACTTTTTTCCACACACCATCCTGGACAAATATATAATAACAGGTTCCACGAATTCTTGTCCTATGAAACTTGGTGTGAATGTTCATGAAAGAGATTTTCCTAAAGGACAAATCCATTTCAACCTTTTGGAACATGATTTCGTGTGATTTGTCCATTGTGCAATTTTATGGCCATAATAAAAAGTATTCACTGAGAAAACTTTGTCCATTATATAATGGGACAATGTTGTGACATCAGGAATGTAAAAACATTTTAAGAGAACTAATAACCACTGTTCTTACAAAGGCAAAAGAATGCCCCTCCATTTCGACCACCGCAAACACCAGATACTGGTAATAAAGACCAGCAGATGTATTGTATGGAATTATCTTTTAAGTCTCTCAATCCCTACCATCGTAATGAAAAATGATGATTACATGATTACCTTTATATTTTCCAAGTGAGATAATGTGACCTAGTCTATTACATATCTTATATATAAATTCAAAGCTGATTTAATGGCAAAGGAATTTTTCTTTGTTCTAGTTCTGGGATTTGGCTCATAAAATATGATTATAGCATATTCTCGTAGAATTTCTTTAGTGGTGTACATCATTTGAGTAGTAAAGAAATTCTCACTCTCAATGCCTTATCAGCAGAATTTGCTGTTTATGGAGAAAAATTAAGAAAAAATATATTTTCTGTTCTGTTCTATTTTGAATCACCCTGGAATCGTTTTGATGTTTCTCTTTCAGCACACATGTTCAGTGAAAACTCATGCATATTACACTTAATAGGATTAATAATCAGCCTTTCACTAATTATAATTAAAGCCTCCTCAGGTAATTGTGTAAGTTAACTTTGGCAATTCACACATATAGAAGAGTATTTTGTAGAATAATATTGGAACATTGCACTAAAAAATACAGTAAAGAGCTTAAAGGGTATGAACATAGGATAACAGAATTCCGAATTCTAATATATTAGCTGGGCATGGTGGCACATGCCTGTAATCCCAGCATTTGGGAAGCTGAGGCAGGAGGATCGCTGTGAGTTTGAGAGCAGCCTGGGCTACATAGTGAGTTCCAGGTCAGACTCAACTACATAGTGAGACCCTGTTGCTAAGTGTGTATCTAATTCCAACATGTGTTACTAAGTATATTACACTGTCTCTCTCTTTGTTTCTTTTTTTTTTATCTTAAAACAACATGAATTTATTCTGTTACAGTCCTAGAGGTCAGAAATTCATAATCCAAGTGTAAGCAAAGCTATGTTCCTTCTGGAGAATTTAGAAGAAAATCCATTACTTAATTTTTTCAGTTTCTAAAATCTGCCTTCCTTTATGAGTCTCCTGACACATTAAATCTATTGATTCTCTTATGACTCCCTCTGACCCCTGACCTTTTTTTAAAATTTAAAATGCTGTGAAAACCAGATAACTCAGGATAACCTCTCTGTGCTGAAATCATTAACTCATCTGCAGAGTGACTTTACAAGATTCAGATGCATTGGAGATTAGGTTGTGGACATCTTGGTGGGGGAACTTTCAGCCCAGTATAGTAAGATGCATTTATCAGAAATATATTTCACAAATCCTGTCTACTTAGTGGAAGATGATGACAGATAAAATTCATGTAAAGTACTTATAAACAAGAAGCCAAAGGTTCTACAAGATGATCATGTTCTACCAATTGATAGTAATAATAGTTACTTAAACATATGATGGAAAAATATTACAAAATTAAAGTCACTCATTGATTTAAGAAGAACGAACGGTAATGAAATGTTAAGCATTGTTAATCTGACACTGGATTAAATTGGAAATCACAGAGTTAGCAATTTCAAGATTTGAGTAGACAAACAGATCTGACATATAAATAAATCCAGAGGAATGAATAAATTACAGCGTATTTTTGCATTAAAATATCATTTCACCATCCAAATGAATGAAATTTGTGGTATACCATGGATAAATCTTTTTTTTTTGGATTGAACTCAGGTCCTTACACTTGCAAGGCAGGCCACCGAACCGCTGAGCTAAATCCGTGGCCCCATACCATGAATAAATCTTGAACAATCACTATGCTAAGTTTAAAAAAAACTACAAAAGGTCATATATTGTATGATTCCTTTTATATTGAATTTCTAGAATATCTTCTGGGATATATTCTCGCTATATACCCTAGGCTGGCCTCAAGCTCCTAGTGCTCCTCCTGCCTCTGCCTCCAGAGTGCTGGGATGACAGGCGTGCACCACCATGTCCTGCAGAGGAAAAGTTTGGAAGTTCTCTTATTTGAAATTGTTCATAATTAAATAAATCATCCCAAAGTAAGAAATATCTTTCTCTTTCCTTGGAAGAAACCAGAGATACTTCATGTCTGCCAAACAGTTTTGAGCCAATATTCCTTCCCTCATATTCTTCTGACCAGCATAGTGAGCCTTGGTAAGCACCGTTATCTGCTTTGTGTTTTCCACCACTATCCCAGCCTGGCATCTCAAGAGCAATCACAGGCAGGAAGAGGCTGATTTTCTTATATTTTCTAATTTGATTTCAAAATCTTTGTAGGTGGAACGCTCCCCGACCAGTCATCTCGGTAGAAGACCTCCAAAGTGATATAGGGGGAACAGATGTAACTCTCAATCCTGCTAGATATCCAAAACGTGAGTTCGTGTTCCCTAAATTCGAAGAATGAATTCTAGGAACAAGGAGGTTAAGAATAGGAAAAATTTATTGAGGGAAACAAAGCTTCTGTCTAAGAGAGACAGAAGGGGGACCAAGAGTGGGTTACCCCATCTCTCTTTCTATATATAGTAACAATGCCTTAATGAAAACCTTGACAGCAGCCGTTTCTACTAAAATTTACTTCTAAAATGTGTAACTATTTCTGCCCTTTTATTAGATGTTATTCTAAGTTCTCATTAAATAGCTTGTGATCTAGCAATTAAATGCCCGCAGAATTGCTAATTTATATGCAACACAAATGAAAAGCCTTCCCTCAAACTTCTATCCTTGAATGTACAAATGAAGGCTTTCTTCATTTATGAAGCTTACTTTAAAACTGTTATTTATACCTAATGGTTAGTTTATGTGTTACTACTTTAAGAAGTCAGTGTTTTGAAGATGCGATACGACACTAAAACGGCCATGTTTTGAAATTATGGAATGCTTCATTGCAAAGTCAGACTCTATAATCTGTGACCAATTTGTGTCAGCTTTCTGCATAGAAAAACAAAACAAAACAAAACAATCTTGAATCCTCCCTTAAACCCGAAATCAGCTGAGGGTTTGTCTTGGTTTCATGAGCTCAGCACAATTAGGTGGCACGTGAATGTGGGCCACATGCGCTTATCGCTCTTCCTAGCATGTGCTCCTTTGATGTGTTAGGTTGAAGGCTCACTCTTTTCTGGGCAGCCTTCCTCCTGGGTCTTTACACTGCTCAGCAGTTGAGTTCAGACTTTGAAACACAGCCTAATTGTTTTTTTTTTTTTTTTTTTTTTTTTTTTTGCTTTGATGTCAGCTTAGAATCTTGGGTGTTACATCAGTAAGGCAGCGCCTGCAATTCACAAAACAGAAAGCGCACCATTTAAGCTTTTGTTTTAATTTTCAAATTGAATTTCAACACCTTTTAAAGTATCAAAAATTGTAGTTGAACAAAATATATAGCAGTATTATTAACTAGAAGGGTGTGAATAAAGAGTGTGCAGCTTCACTGGTATTAATTTAATATCAGAAATCAATCAATATCTGATGAACATTCATAACAATAAAGTGGTCTCTTATTTTATCATTTGTTTTATTTCCAAGTCTGATTAATGTGGCATGGAATTTTCTCTTCTAAATATCTGTGTGGCTCATCTTCAAAACATTTTTCACTCATTATTAGTTTGTCATTATGAACTAAGTGCTTTTTCTTAACACTGAGTTTGCTACAGCCTTGGGGGACAGGACAAACAAGGGACTTGTTTACCTTCATTTTTCACTAATTGAAAAACCAAAGTCTGAGAAACTCTAAGCTTATTGGCTTTCTAAATTGCAAATAGATTCAGTAAAATAAGTTGTTTCTTTATATGCAGATTAGTTTTAAAGCCTAAAACAAGTGGAGATTTGGGGGTTAATTACTACACAGCATATAAGACCATATGGATAGATTTCTCCTTATCATCTGATGCAAAACCAAAAAGTCATGGCAGATCCTTTTCTGAACTTTTGTTGTTGACAAGGAACATTTATCATTAAGGGTTTAACATGTATGCTGTTAAAAAAATAATTTCGAAAGAATAAATAAATACATTTCCACTGGCTAATACCAAGAAACTATACATATTTCTTGCTTAGAAATAATTTCAGCTAAATTTACAGAGAAAATACAAAGGCAACTTCATTGTGGTACACTGGCAATAAAGTACCCTAAATTCTACTTAGCCAAAATTTTGTGATGAATGTCCAATTTATTTTCCAGCTGTTTGGAATTTGTTATTGCTGTATATTCTAGGGAGAATTCTTTCAGAATATGACCATGATATATTTTCTCTTGGGCAAGAGTGATACTGTTTACAATAACAAATTAGAATTTAAAAATTGTTGTTTATCTTAGATTCATGTTAATTTTTTTTCTCATTGAGTTTATTGGTACATTTTAGGTATACTGTACAGTTACATTCATCATGGGGATCTTGTACCTTTACATGATAGGTCTTGCTCTCATTTTTTCCCCTTATCCCTGACCTCCCTTCACCCTCGCCTCCCTTCCCATTTTAACAAATTTTGGAAAAAATCTACATATCTCAAAAGAGAAATAGCTTAGCGAACGTTGTGCAGCCAGACAATGGAATATTATGTAGTCATTCAAAATGTTTATTAAGAAATTTTACTATTATTGCAAAAATACATAGAGAAATATTATAACGTTAAAGTGATAAAGAAAACACATGTCATGGTAATAGCAGCTGTCTTTGGCTAATGAGAATGTAGTTTTTCTTCTACTTTATATATTCAAACATTTTATATTGAATAATGGTTTATAACTTTTGTAAAGTTGGGATGCAAAATGCTATTACATGTAAGTTGCTCTGCTTATATAAATACAAAATTTTAAGCTGTGTTTTTAACTTAAAAAATTAAATTCAGTCTCATTTAATTTCTTAGATGCAGCATAAGAATTACTAACACATGAATGTATAACGAGTTTCTTTTTTGGCTTTTTCTGGTTGAATAACTTTAATTTTTTTCATTTTTACTTAAGTTATACAATATATTTTGGTATCACATATAGAGAAGTATTGTAATATGACTTCATTTCATCTTGAAAACTTTTTGCAAATAGTCAGATTTTCTAAGGTAGACCAAATTTGACAATAATGATAGCTATTTTCACCTGATTTTTCTGAAAATACTGAATTCTTTTTAATAGTAAAAATTATAGCTAAATAGTGACACTGAAGATATCTATCTGTATATCCAGAAGTCAGACTAAATCTAAAAAGATGTGCACAGTAAGCTCCTGTGGCTTGTGAAATTTAAATTAATTAAAGCTAAATGAATTAAGAATTCAATTCTTCAGTCACTCAGGTCCCATTTCAAGTGCTAAATAGTTACATGTAACTAGTGGCTTGTGATTGGCCACAAATACAGAAAGTTGCCTTCATTACAAAAGGTTCTGCTGGAAAGCACTAATGTTACACATGGTATTCTGGATAATTAGTTATCTGCTCCCAGGTTTAATCCTTTAAGTATATTTGGAGAGGGGAAAATTGGGGTCATTGTATATGCTTTCTTTTTTAATTTCATCATTAGACATTTTTGAGCTAGACGAGAGGAAGGCAAAATCTCAGAATGTTTTGTTTGCCGTGTGTGTTTATGTGACAAAAGAAGATCATATGCTTGAACAATAGTCTGTACTCATATAAAACTCATCTTTCTTTCTTTCGTTCTTACAATATTTGCTTTCTTCAAAACCCAGATGTTTCTTCGTTTTCTTGACCTTGAACAATAGGGCAAAGAGCTTCGTGCAAATAGGAAGTGTGGGGGAAACCTGGAGGCGGCCAGTCACTTTAAAGGAAAGGTGAAAGCAAGAGGTTTCGTATTCAGAAGAGGAAGAGCGACAAGAGAATTTCTGCTCTGAAAATATTTATTTAAATGAAAATAAAGTATAAAACTGATAATAATGACATACATATGGTAACCATCTTTAAGATATCACGCATAATCTTTTGTGGTATGCTAGAAATTTTTTCCCAAGGCGGAAGTAACTGTGCTGAGTATGGTACAGATAGTGTGATGTAAGATCAAAGGTGGGATCACAGAGTCTTATTTTTAAAAGGAATATTTTTGTTTAAATCATAAATATAATAATTCTCAGTAAAAATATTAAAGGAATAACAGATTACTTACTATAAAAGTGGAATAAAAAGCTTCATTTTATTTTCACTTAATTATCAAATAACATAGTTAAGAATTATTTATTTTCATAAGAATTTTTCTCTCTACATATTTCTTATTTACTTTTTTTTTTTTTTTTGGTACCAGGGATAGAATTCAGGTCCTTGTGTTTGCAAAGCAGGCGGCGGAACCACTGAGCTAAATCCTCAGCCTCTTATTTACTTTTATATCATAAGCATTTTACAAACTGATTAACGTCTTTCATAAAATATAACTTCAGTTATTTCATTTACTTGTGAAATTTTTAAGTGATCTGTCACTTTGGAATATGTGTTACTTGAATTTTGTTATTCATTACTGTTACATAAACATTTTTTGCATGAATTCATGTCCACATCTCACTTCTTTAGCACAGAGTACTGAAAATAGAATTGGTACAATACAGAGTGTAAATTGCTTTATCATGCAGTCATGCTTTTTATTGATAAACTTCTTTATTAAAATGTCATTGTAATATACTTTTCCATTAACAGTAAGTATGAGTATCTGTTTTCCTTAATATAACATTTAAGGAATGGAATATAAAGGAATATAAAGTTGGAAATTATTTAGTATAATTTTGTATTTATTCACGATTGATAATAAATTCCCAAAATGGTGGTAAATTAAATTTGAAGAACGACAAAACATCATACACTAACTTTTTCTTCCTTAAGAAATATTATTGTCTTATAAAACAGAAACAATTCTCATATATTACTTAGATTTATTAAATTTAGATTATTAATTAATTGTAATCATTGCATTAATAATTATATTAATTAATGTTCCATTCAAATTAATTTATGAAACACATTGCAAGTGAACGATATCATGATGTCACAGAACTACTTTCCATACTGTTAATATTGAAAAAAGGAAAGAAAAATAAATATATTTTAAATTACTTTTTAAAAGATAGTGATATCCTCCATATACTTTTAATTATGCTGATCTGAGTTTCAAAAGTGAAATATAATAACCTGTAATAGGAAACATTTCAAACTTATTTTTCAATACTAAGAAGATAAAATAAATTGAGAATTATATCTGATATATCTGTGCTTATTCATTTATTTTTTTCAGTGGGCTTACCTCATTAAAGCAAAGAAGTGTACTATGGAATCATAAATGGATAAAATTCTAATTTTAATCACAATTTTATTATAATTTTCCCAAAGTAACTGATGACAAGCCTTAACTAAATGAAAGAAAGTAAAACAAAATAAATTCAATAAAATAG